ACAAAAACTCTGCTCCTGTACAGCTCCATCTCTCCCCGTTTGTGTTGTTTCACAGCTTGCATCTTTATACATTATGTGCCTATTAACATCAATTTATAATTATTGTTTTATGCATTTGTCTGTTAAATTGTATAGAAAAGAAAGAGGAGTTACAAACCGAAAGTACAATACTGGCTTTTGTATTTACCTATGTAGTTACCTTTACCAGTATTCTTTATTTCTTTGTATGGCTTCCTGTTGCTGTCTCATGTCCTTTAATTTCCCCTGATGGACTCTCTTGAGCATTTCTTGTAGCATAGGTCTAATAGTGACAACTTCCTTCAGCTTTTGTTTGTTTAAGGATGTCTTAATTTCTCCTTCAGTTTTGAAGGACAGTTTTTTTGGTTCACAGTTTTTTTTTTTCTTTTAGCACTTTAAATATATCATCCCAGTGCCTTCTGGCCTTTGTGGTTTCTGATGAGAAATTAGCTGTTAATCTTATTGAGGATCCCTTGTATGTGAAACACTTTTGCTACTTTCTTGATTCTTTTTTTTTTTCTGTGTGTGTGTGTGTGTGTGTGTGTGTGTGTGTGTGTGTGGGGAAGATCAGCCCTGAGCTAACATCTATTGCCAATCCTCCTCTTTTGCTGAGGAAGATGGGCCCTGAGCTAACATCCATACCCATCTTCCTCTACGTTATATGGGACGCTGCCACAGCATGGCTTGACAAGCAGTGTGTCAGTGTATGCCCGGGATCTGAACCTGTGAACCTCGGGCCGCCGAAGCAGAGTGCATGCACCTAACTGCTTGCGCCACTGGGCCAGCCCCTCTTTTTGGGTTTTGATAGCTTGATTATAATGTGTTTTGGTATGGATGTCTTTGCATTTATCCTTCTTGGAACTTGTTGAACTTCCTGAATGTGTCATTTCTTGTCTTTTTTCAAATTTGAAAAGTTTTAGCCATTATTTCTTCACATTTCTTTTTTCTGCCCTTTTCTTTCTTTTCCTCCTGGGACTTCCTGTTGTGTGTATGTTGGTACACTTGGTGGGCTTCCACATATCTCTTCGTCTCTATTCATTTTTCTTTGTGTTTCTCAGACTGGATAATTTCAGTTGACCTCTCCTCAAGTTCTCTGATCTTTCTTCTGCCGGCCCAAAGTTGTCATTGGAACTCTGTAGTTAATTTTTCATTTCAGTTATTGTACTTTTTAGTTCCAGAATTTCTTTTTGGTTCTTTTTAAAATAATTATGTCTTTATTGATATTTTCTATTTGTTGACACATTGTCCTGGTTTCCATTAGCTCTTTGTCCGTGGTTTCTTTGAGCTCTTTGAGCATATTTAAGATAGTGATTGATAGTCTTTGTCTAGTAAGTCTGATGTCCGTTCTTCCTCACAGACATCATTTCTTCTTTGAATGGGCCAGACTTTCTTTTTTCTCTGCATGCTTCACAATTTCTTTTTGAAAAGTGGACATTTTAGATATTAAAATGTGATAACTCTGGAACAACTCTGGAAATTAGATTCTTCCTCCCTCTCATGGTTTGTTTTTGTTGCTTTTGTTTGTTTAGTGACTTTCCTAAACTATTTTTTTATTTTTGTGAGGAAGATCGGCCCTGAGCTAACATCTGCCAATCCTCCTCTTTTTGCTGAGGAAGACTGGCCCTGGGCTAACATCCATGGCCATCTTCCTCCACTTTATATGGGATGCTGCCACAGCACGGCTTGACAAGTGGTGCGTTGGTGCACACCCGGGATCCGAACCGGCGAACCCCAGGCCACCACAGCAGAGCATGTGCACTTAACCACTTGTGCCACCTGGCTGGCCCCCTAAACTATTTTTGTAATGTTTGGTTTTTTTTGTCATGGGTGGTCCCTGTCTTAGTCTGCTTGGGCCACCATAACAAAATATCATAGAAGGGAATTTATTTTCTCACAGTTCTGAAGGCTGGAAGTCTGAGATCAGGGTGCCAGCATGGTTGGTTTCTGGTGAGAACTCTCTTCCTGACTTGCAGATGGCCACCTTCTCACTTTGTTCTCACATGGCAGAGAGAGAGAGAAAGATCAAGCTCTCTGGTATCTCTTCTCATAAGGGGCAGTAATCCCATCACGAGAGCCCCACGTACATGACCTCATCCAAACCTAATTACCTCTCAAAGGCCCCACCTCCAAGTACCATCACACTGGGGCTTAGGGCTTCAACATGTGGAATTTTACAGGGAGGGGCGACAGAAACATTTAGTACATAACAGTCTCTGAAATCTTTTTTTCTTTTTTGCTGTGGTCTGCTGGTGTTATGAGAGAGATTTCCTTGAACACCTGGAGTAAAAAAGAAAATAAAAAGAAAGAAAAGAGGAAAAAGAAGAGAAGAAAGAAAAGAGGAAAAAGAAGAGAAGAAAGAAAATTCTTTCCCAATCTTTAGAGACTGGCTCTGTGTTGGGGTGTTCTGACCCTTAGGCAAGCTCTTTACAACTCTCTCTTAGCCTTCACTTCTGCTTGTGCTGAGTCTAGAGATGAGCCAGTAGTTTTCTCAGGTCTTCTCTGAGTAGGTGTCCTGCCTTGGACATATGCATGGTTTTCTAAATTCCCAAATTGTTTTTCAATGCCCTAATTGCCCAAAGAAACTCTTTCCAGCTTTTCCTCCAGGTTTTTGGCATGTCTCTTGTTTGCCTCAACTGTAATATTTTGTCTCATGTGGCAGTGGGTTTTTCGTTTGCCTTAAAATGTTTTTGAAGAATGCCCTCTGTATAGCTGCTTTTCTGCCCTTGGAGAGTTCCAACTTGGTGAAGCAAAGGAGAGTGCCTTGAGTCAGTCCTTCACGTATTCTCACACAGGTCACAACAGACAAACACAAATTCTTTGAGAACAAAGTCTACTCTGTTCCCTGTAGAACTTGGGACCAGGGTCCAACTGTTGGAATGTGGGCTAGTGTATTCAAGACTGCCACTGAGCTGAGAGTGGGGAAAAGGAAATAAAAATGCCACAAAGCTTTCCTACTGTTTTTATGTCACCTTTTTGTTGTTTTAGCATTTGCTTGTTTGATGTAAATCTTTGACTATTTTCCAGAGTTCTGACAAATTTGATTGTGACAGTTTTTGCTCAGTTTTTTGGTGTTTCTTTGGAGGGATGGGCTCTTGGAACTTACCTCCTACACCTGTCATTAAGGAAGTGTGTTTTTGCTTGCACTTTCTGATATTTGCTGCTGTTGGGACCATTCTGCATTCCCTGTAGTTTTTCTCTCCACTTCCTCCTGTGCAACTTCTGCCCTATCTTACCTGTTCTTAGCAGCTTTTATTAGTATTTTGGAATCTTTGGCTTATCCCTGTCTTTTCATTTAGCTTAAAATGAAGATTGCATTTTTTAATGTTCTCTCACTTGTTTGCCTTTGTTGTTTTTTTATGGTATCCAGGATTCATATTGTTCCCTTACCCCCTAAAATTCTGTCTTGATGTTTGTAGTCAACCCCTATTTTCACCCAAACTCCTGGTAATCATTTATATGTTTTCTGTTCTTAGAACTTTGCCTTTTCTAGAGTGTCATGTAAATGGAATCACAGTTTGAGTCTGGCTTTCACATAGCATAATACATTTGAGATTTTTCCACATTGTTTTGTGTTATCAATAATTTGTTCATTTTTGTTGCTGAGTAGTTTTCTACTATATGAATGTACAGTTGAAGGACATTTGGGGTGTCTTATGTTTTCAGTGATTATGAATAAAGCTGTTATAAACATTCATGTATAATTTTCACATGAATGTATTTTCTTTAGATAAGTACCTAGGAGTGGGATTACTGTGTCATAACTTTCTAAGAAACTGCTAACCTGTTTTCCAAAGGCGCTATATCATCTTGCATCCTCACTAGCAATGTATGAGAGTTCCAGTTCTTCTGTATCCTTACCATTACTTGATATTGTCAGTATTTGTATCTCTCTCTCTGTTTTGCATTTCCCTAATGACTAATGATGTTGAGCATTTTTCTTATTCTCGTCTTTGTATCTTCTTTGATGAAGTATCTGTTAAAACCTATTGCTATTTATAATTTATTTAAATTGAGTTTTGAGAATTCTTCTTATATTTTGGTTATTAGTCCTCTATTAGACTTGTTTTGCAGATGTTTTCTCCCAGTCTCTGTCTTGCCTTTTCATTCTGTTAACAGTGTCATTCAAAGAGCTGTAGTTCTTAATTTTAATGAAGTCCATTTTACCAGTTTTTTGGATTGTGTTTTTGCTGTTGTATCTAAAGGTCACAAAGATTTCTTCCTATGTTTTCTTCTAGAACAATGCTAGAAATAGACTGAAAGTGATATATGTAATTTTAATTTTTTTAGTATCCATGTTAAAAATTTAAAAAGAAACAAGTGAAATTAATTTAAATCTTCTGTTTTATTTAAGCCAGTGTATTCAAAATGATCATTTCAACATGTATTCAACAGAAAAATTATTAATGAGATACTTTACATTTTTATTTTTGTGCTAAGTCCTACCCTCGTGTGTATTTAACACAGCACATCTTAACTCAGTTGAGCCACATTTGAGGGGCTGACTAGCCACATGTATCTAGTGGTTACCATATCAGACAGCACAGATCTAGAAGTTTTATACTTTTGGGTTTTACTTTAAGTCTGTTATTTATTTTGAGTTAATTTTTGTATAAGGTGCAAGGTATGGATTGAAGTTCATTTTTTTACATATGGTTGTTCATCAGAAACTTTTAAATAAAAGTTTGTTCTCGGCGATTAGAGATCTAGAGATTATCCTGGGCTCTAAAGGTCAACATTTAAACATACTTTCTTTTATTGCCTTATTTTATTGTCTTTTATTTCAGTGTAATGTAAATTTACTTTGTAATTAACAGTTTTCAAACAATATGTGTAAAATGCTCAGAAGTATTAGGCATTTAGTGTCGTGGCTTTATTTATATAGCTATTCAAACTTCAATTACACATGCTAGTTACCTTTTAAGACTAATTAACCTCCCCGTTCCCAAAATTATATCTAAAATTCTTATTTACTTTGTTTCCAGGCATGTACTGGCATTGAAAACATTGATGAAGCTATTACATTGCTTGAACAAAATAATTGGGACTTAGTGGTAAGTACTTTCTTCTTTTTTCCAGCTTTATTAAGATATAATCGACATATAAGGTGTTCAATGTGATGATTTGATATATGTATATATTGTGAGATGATTACCACAATGTTAGTTAACACATCCATCACCTTGCATTATTACTTTTTGTTTTTGTGGTAAGAACTTTTAAGATTTACTCTCTCAGCAACTTTCAAGTATACAGTACAGTATTGTTAACTATTGTCACCATGCTGTACATTAGATCCCCAGAACTTATTCATCTTATAACTGGAAGTTTGCACCCTTTGACCACCTTCACGCATTCTCCCCTGCCCCTGTCAACCACTAATCTAAACTGCTCTGTTTCTATGAGTTTGGTTTTCTTTTTAGATTTCACATATAAGTGAGATCATACAGTATTTGTCTTTCTCTGTCTGACTTATTTCAAGTACTTTTTTCTTTATTTGACCAGTAATCAAATTTTATGAGTTCTTGAATGTCTTTAACATTCCTTATAGGTTGTTCAGTGTACCATCGCCCATCTGTAACTCTAATCTGAGTAAATAAAATCTAAATATTTTATCTTTGAGATGAAGTTCTTATTTAGTTCAGTGTTAAATTACTAAATTATTATGAATTCTTAGATAATTAAAAAAATTTTTTAAGTTGTTTTCTTATCTTACTGTGTATTAAGGTTCATCTTCCCCTGTAGTATTGTGATGGAGATGCTTAGAAGGAGAGAAAAGTCAGACTTGTTTGAATGTCTGAATAACTCTATTTGGTGTTTCTGCCTCATTTCCTGGGGCCCTTACTGATGATTACTCCTTTCTAAAGCTGTTAAAGAAGTGGCATTCTGCTGTGGTTTTCCTTATGAACTTCTGACATTTTAATGTAGAAGTTGTTTATTTTTTTTCGTGGGGGACAGGGGGGCCTGACTTAAAAGGCAAGGCCCAGCACAGCACTACACATTCACAAAATTGTAATTTATTTACAACTGCAAAGCAGACTGAAAATGAATTGTACAACAGTATTGGAGCAGTATTGGTTGTGTTGGGATGACACAGATGTCCCTCAGTGAAATCCTTTGAAATCCTTAAAAAGCCTAAATTACAATTTCAAAGAAGTGCTAATTTTTGAAAGTCAAAACTTGAGATGTGTATTTACAGAGCTGAGATTAGATATGTAGGTATATTCAGGTTCATACATGGACTTACATAATCAGCTATCATTTATTTATATGCTTTGTGTAGATTTACTACTATTAATTTTTTTACTCATATTATAAAAAGCCTTTATTTTCAGTTTGTAAAAGTAATGTTCATTGTATGAAATGAGAAGATATAGAAATTTACAAAGAAGAAAGTAATAATCACCTTTAATCTCATCACTTAGAGATAGTAATTGTTTAACATTTTTGAGTGTATTATTCCAGGATATTTTCTCTTATGTGATTAACTTCTTTTCATACAAATGAGATTGTTCTATTGCTACCATTTTGTAATCTACATTTTTCACTTAATCTATTATGAATATCTTTCTATCCAAGCAAATGTAACTGTTCATTGTTCTTTTTAATGTTTGTTTAATGTTTGCGTGATATTTCATGGTGTGGTTGTAGCATAATAATTTTACCCATCAGTCTTATGCTTTTAGACTTTTAGGATTTTTGCAATATTTCCTATTATACACATTACTGTAGAGAATATTCTGGTACGTATATTCTTGCATACTTAACCTATTATTTTCCTAGATGATATTGAATAAATTCAATTCATAATTGGATTTCTGGGTCAAATTATATACATATTTTTAGGTTTTTGGATACTTGTAGTTAAATTGCCTTACAGGATGGTGACACTAATTTAGATTTTTACCAACTATGTACATTTTGAGATTGCCTATTTTATTAAGCCAGTGCTTCCTTTTTTTTTATGTTCTAGTACTTGTCAAAATTTACAGATATTTGTATGGCCTGACTCCAAATCCAGGCTTTTACCACTGTGCTATACTCTTAACAAAGCATGGTATAGGTGACATGTCCATGATTTCTATGTGTGGGTGGGTGGGGGAAGGAGCAGCAACTTATTTGTAATGATGTCCCCAGGTTTCTTGTCTTGAAGCTTCTTTTGTAATAGCATGTGCATCGCTTTATTTAGTTTGTGTATTTTTAGGGTATCTTTTGGAGAGGCTGATGTAGATTATTGGTTGAGGTTAAAAATCCCACCAAGCCATTGCATGGTACTGATGAGAGGGGTATGAGGTGGAAGTAAAGGGAGGTTGTGGGCTGGGAGTAATTGACTATAAGTCTCTGATGTGAGAATTACCATTTGAAGGGGTGGATGTAAGTTCTTTCCTTATTTGCATCCTATTGGTCCATGTTCATTAGTTTTGAAGATTAAAACATCTGTTGGTTGTGGATATTTTCTCAATCCAATCTATCTAGAGTATTGCAAAGGGAGAATTTTCCCAGATAGTATTAAATAATTGAATGGTACAGGTGTTCTCTAACTATTTGTGTGTTATTTTTTTGGGAAAATATTATAATAGCACTTGGGTTAAAAACAGTGATGTTATATTTCTGCAGAAATGTAATCTCATACTGTATTGGGCCTAAGCAAAAGCATCAGGCTATCTTTCACAACCTTAAACTTGGGCTTTCTTTTGAAATATATGTGCTAGCTGGCTTTCCTCTGCAAATAATCCACTTTTATCACAGTAAAGGTTTGCTCTGTTATGTAACTCTTGCTCTATAAATTTTCTCATTTCTCCTGTTTTTATACAGCACTCACTTTACGTTGTGGTTTTTTAAAAATGAAGTTTATATATTTTGAATAATCCAAACTTTTCATTAGGATCATGGAACTTTTTATATGGTGTTTTCTATATTTTGCCTGTGCATTATATTTTGTGTTTCTAAATTATGATTATCACTGCTCTGTTTGATGGGCCTTGTGGAACAGTTTGCATAATTTGAATCTTTAACCTAGGACATGCCTGTATTTTAAATTTCCTGCACATATCTGCCCTCTCCTTCAGTGTTTGTGGACATTTTGCTAGAGAAGTATAAAGGAATGTGACTTAGCCACTACAATCTGGAATTGTGATGAATATAAGAAAATCCAATAAAAAAACCTCATTCTGTCAGTACTGAGTGCTTACAGTATATCCAGATTTATGCTAGATACAGTGGGAGCTTAAAAAAAACGTAATAATGTATGGTGTCTGACTTTGAGAAGTATACTGAAAAATTGATAAGACACATGGTCTTTTATACATGTATGTTATACTCAGAAATGAGAATAACTTCCTGAAAAATGATTGCAAGTATTTTATCTATTTTATAGATTTAGGCACATAAATAAAAAGTATTCTATATGAAAATATAACCCAGTCCCAGGAATTTTACCCATTAGTCACTTTGCTTGATCTGCACATTATTTTCATTATATAGCTATCCACAAAACAGTGCTTCTACACCCTATGTTTTAAGTACCCCAGAGTTGATTCTTCTTATTTTGGGACAACTGCATATTGGGTTATATATGCTAAAATTCTGAAAACAAAGTAACATGAACTTGAAGAGTATTGAGAAGCATCTCAAGCTACTGTTTTACTTGACACGAAGCCTGTAGTATTCTCCCTGCCTCCATCTACCTCAGACTTTCATTTTTCACATTGTTTTGCACTTAGAGTTAAGGGAAGATTAATGTCATTATAGTTGATTCATTCCTTGCGGATGAGTATTTTCTATTTATATCTACAAAGGTGAATAAGTAAGGAAGAATTGTTGGCAATGAATTAGAATCTTTTACCAAAGGATTGGCTTCTTACGTGGAAGCATGCTATGTGATCACTATAAATTGTAATCCGGGCTCCAGAATTGACCCACTGCTCATTTTCTGTTTTCAGTATAGAAGAATTTGGGCCAGTGGAGAATAGAAATCTATATCGTTTGTTTTAATTTTGAGTAATCAAAATGTGAGACAGCTAACTATAGTGGTAAACCCATTGCATTAATCTTGAATCAGGAGCCTGCCCTGGCTTTTCAAACCTCTTGTCATTATTATATTGGGTATGGCCTAGGACAAGTTACTTCTCTCTGAACTTCTGAACTTCTTCATATTAAATAAAGGGCTTGGACTAGATCATACTCAAGATTCTTTGATACATGAAATATTTATGAGGAATCTATGTCCTAATTTCTGTCAAGATTCTATAAAAAGCAGTCAATTATGAATAGTAGTATAACAAACATTTTAATAGAACTTTATAAGTTTGCAACACTTGTGCACATACCATTTTGTTTAATCCTCTTAACAACTTTATGATGTAGATAATGACAGGACAAGATGCTATACCAGTTGTTGTACAGAAGGTCTGTATTTATGAAACTCCTTCAATAAATTAAAATTTACAGTAAGCTCTAGGAGATCCAGGGAAAGATATTTGACATACTTGATAACCCAATGCTAAGTGAAATAAAGTAAAAGTAAACATTAACCTAGCCATACTACATTTTAAGTACTCTATGCTCTTAGGAAATGATTTTTGAACTTTGCACTCCATTTCTGCTCTAGTTTGCTGCCTGTGCTGACATAGCTATTTTGTTGAAGAAAGACTCTATTCAGAGTGCTTGTATTTATCTTTAGCTACATGTTTCAACTTAAGGCAAAAATGATATAAATCAGCCTATTTCTGGATCATTACTGAATTTCTAGTCTTCGGAGATAATTTTGCATTAATAGAAGCGTGCAATAAAGTCATAAACGCTGAAAAGTCAAACGCAAGGAAAATTATCATGCACATAATGTCTCATTTTAAGATTCATTGAGGTGTTTTGAGACATTTCCATTCCACCAATTTTCACTTTTGAAGAAATATATCTTAACGATTATCCTAAAATTCCTTAGAATACTGTCTTCTAATACCTACTCAGGATGTGGCTATAGAGTTCCTCGAGTGTGCACTGCTTCTCTACTTTATACAGTGTTATGAACACCTGCAGTTCTATGAATGAGCTA